AGTACATTACTAGGCATGAGAATAAAGGATTATTTTCCCCTATAAAGGAATGGAGTTATCTGCAGCTATCCCTCTAGTGACGTCACGTTTAGCCACACCCACTGACAGGAAGTAACCTGGCAGGAAGGGAAAATGGGCATTTTTGAAGGCTCATATCTCAGTGAATAATTTTTTTCAGACAATGGGAGTTGGAACACATCATTAGTATTGTTAGGCAGTCATATTAAGCAAATAAAAAAAATATCTCAAAAATGCACTGAAGTTACCCTTTAATATTTGTGGGACTCTTTAAATCTTTCTTGTTGGTGAGTTATAGCTTCTTGAATTTCAACCCGAGTAAACTGTAGGTAGTCTAAAGGTCCTAAACTCTCTCAAATCACTCAATTTACATCTAGGCAACAGTATTTGTGCCATTATAATGTCATATAGCGCTTATAACAAGAGAAAAATCTGAAATTTCCTCAGTTCTTGTTGCAGGGCTTGCTGCCATCAAATAAGTAATAGTTGATGATGTCATGCCACACCTCCAATTAGGGAGTAGCTGGAGTACGCTGCTACTTCTGTAGGCATGCAGTCTGGTTTGTTTTTAGGATGCGTATCTTTGATAGAGACCACATCAAAAGCTGTGGTTTTGCAACCCATGATGCTATTTTTAAAATAAGAGTGTATAAATAGTTGATAAAATCCAAGTGTTAGTTGGAATTTATGAAACACATCAAAAATTTTTGGAGGGACTCCCAGAGTCCCATCATGCTTTTCACACTTGCCCAGAGTGTCACTTTTGATCTAAATGTACAGGTATACTTGCAGGTCAGCTAAGCCTAACACTTCCCAATCAACTATAGGGGCGAGGCCACGCACCTTTGGTGTCTCGTTTATCTATTTATTTTGTTTATCTATTTTGTTTATTTATTTATTTATTTATTTATTTTTAGAATTATCATGATATTTATGATAAGATCAGTTTCTTTAAAGACTCGGAACTTTCTTATAGAATAATGGATCATAAGTAAGCCATGCCTCCACAATTATTATTATTATTATTATTATTATTATTTATTAGTTTCATCATATGGATGGGTGATCTTAACTATCGTATCCAAACTTCAGTTGATTTCAGTACTGAGATCATAAAGGCACTGGCTGATCTCTACCAGTTCAATAAGTTGCTTCAGCACGATCAGCTCCAGCAGCAGCAGAAAAGAGGAGAAGCATTCACTCACTTTAAAGAACCTCCCATTGATTTCAAACCAACATACAAGTTTGACCCATCCACTAACAGTTGGGACTCATCAGAGAAGAACAGAGCCCCTGCTTGGTGTGACAGGATCCTCTATTATTGTGATGATATGAGTTACATTAAGAACCTCTCCTACCTCTCTCACCCTGAGATGATCATCAGTGACCATAAACCAGTCAGTGCCACCTTTGAACTACAGGTAAGTGTACCAAACTACCAATGCGTGTACATGTACTTGTACCTGAAAAATTTTACATGTACTGTACATATTAATTTACAAAGTAGTATTTCAATAATAAAAAAACCAGCCATTCTGAACCTTTATTTACATGCTCAATGTCACATGGACACAATGATTTCCAAGTTAAAGACTGTGCCAATCAGTATGAATGTAGCAATTTGCAGAAATTAAATTATTTTATACCTACAGTACATGTACATTGTACCATATTCATGTGCATGTACATGAACATAGAACGTGTTCTATTGTAGTTATATTGATTGATAGTCATTGAACCATTAAGGCATTAAGTTAACCACAAAGCCTCGTGGTGATAGTGGAACATCCATAGCCTAAGCGTTGTTGGCCCTTTCTTTAGCGATACAAATGGCTGCAGTTGCTGACGATAATTGGTACTATTTAAGTACTAGCCACAACTTTCAGGGCATCCTTACTTGGATGCGTGATGTCCGTGATAACATGAGGCTCACTGGCTACTGTGAGGTACAAGCTAATCGTATGTGGCGTGACCATGCTGCCAATAATGATGAATGGGGCCAATCCTATCATTTTGCTAGAGCTGCCCAGTGTGTAATGAGGTTTGCTTTACTGAGAGCTGTTGGCCTTGAAGGGCACTGTCCATCAGATAGTAAAAGTGTGGAGAATAATAGAGAGGCACTAGAAATAGTCACTGAACAAGATAGAGCTAATATAAATGGGGATGGACTCCTTGTTAATAATCAACCTGAGCCTGTCCGATTGTTCTATTCTTATTTTGATTCTTTATTTGCTACGCATTTCATCATGGCAAAACTTCGTAATCTGGGAGCAGGACAAAATGATGATATCACTCGTCAAATGATAATTTATAATCGACGTAACAACGTGATTTGGCACATCACAGCAACGCTTAATGTTGACTGTGAACAGAGAATTATTAGGAGAGTTCAAACGAGGATTTTTAGGGGAACTGAACCGTTTGTAGCTGTGATGAGATTTGATC